GCCATTTCAGAGACCCAACAACTAAATGCAATCATACTTCTTGTTTGGATCACACTATAAACAAACTTGGTGCAAAAGATATTTGGGCAACAAAACTTGAGTGTGTTAATATTATTATGGTTGTACAGGAAAGTATTATCATTAGATATGTGTATTAAAATATTTAGGAGTAAAATTTTATGCCTTTACTTAAAAAGATTTCAATGAAAAATGTGTGAAACATGACAAAATGCTAAAAAAATTCTACGTGATAGGTATATGGTGTTTATTATATTATTCTCTCTACTTTTTCTGTACATTTATAGTTCTTTTTTTTTTTTTTTTTTTTTTTTTGAACGGAGTCTCGCGCTGTGCACCCAGACTGGAGTGCAGTGGCGCGATCTCGGCTCACTGCAAGCTCCGCCTCCCAGTAGCCGTACGCCATTCTCTCCTGCCTCAGCGCTCCGAGGTAGCTGGGACTACAGGCGCCCGCCACCACGGCCCGGCTAGTTTTTTGTATTTTAGTAGAGACGGGGTTTCACCATGTTAGCCAGGAGGTCTCGATCTCCTGGACCCTCGTGATCCACCGCGCCCGGCCTCCCAAAGTGCTGGGATTACAGGCTTGAGCCACCGCGCCCGGCCAACCTCTATGTCTTTTTATAAGCATGAAAACATTTTTTTAAATAGAGTTGGGGTTTCGTTGTCGCCAGGCTGGTCTCAAACTCCTGACGCTTAGAGGGATCCTCCTGCCTCGTCTCTAACAGTACTAGGATTGCATAAGCCACCACACCTAGCAAATTAAAAAGTTGTTTTTTGTTTTTTGTTGTGTTTGTTTTCAAGATGGAGTTCACTCTTGTTGCCCAGGCTGGAGTGCAATGGTGAATCTCGGCCTCACTCAACCTCCACCTCCTGGTTCAAGCAGTTCTCCAGGCCTCGTTTCTTATAGTAGCTAAGATTACAGTCCACCCGCCACCACACCCAGCTAATTTTTTTGTATTTTTAGTAGAGGACAGGGGTTTCACCATGTTGGCCCAGCTGCTGTGTCGAACTCCTGAACTCAGTGATAAACCCACCTGGGCCTCCCAAAGTGCTGGGATTACAGGGTGGAGCCATCGTGCCTGGCCAAAAATTGTTTTTCTGGTTGGGTTTTTTTTTTTTTTTTTTTTTTTTGAGACAGAGTCTCCCTCTGTCACCCAGGCTGGAGTGTAGTGGCTCACTGCAACCTCCACATCCCAGGTTCAAGTGATTCTTGTGCCTCAGCCTCCCAAGGGGCTGGGATTACAGACGTGCACCACGACGATCAGCTAATTTTTATGTTTTTAGTAGAGACGAGTTTTCACCCTGTTGGCCAGGATGGTCTGGAGCTCCTGGCCTCAAGTGATCCACGTGCCTCAGCCTCTCAAAATGCTGGGATTACAGGCCAGAGCCACCACGGCCAGCCATAAAAAAAACAAAAAACAAACAAACAAAAAACAAACAAACAAAAAAACCCGGATATTTGGCCGGGCACAGTCTCTCATGCTTGTAATCCTAGCACTTTGGGAGGCCAAGGAGGGTGGATTACCTGAGGTCAGCAGTTTGAGACCAGCCTCGCCAACATGGCAAAACTCCGTCTCTACTAAAAATACAAAAAATTAGCCCAGCATGGTAGTAGGCACCTGTAATCCCAGCTAGTTGGGAGGCTAAGGCAGGAGAATTGCTTGAACTCAGGGACGGAGGTTGCAGTGACGCCATTGCACTCCAGCCTGGGCAACAAGAGCGAAACTCTGTCTCAAAATAAATAATAATATCCAGCATTTGTGAGTGTTTGAGAAAACAGACCATCACATATATATTGGAGTATATACTGGTATAAACTTCTAAGAGGACAATTTCGAATATATACATTTTATTTTACAATATACATATCGGCAGGGCAAGGTAGCTCGCGCCTGTAATCCCAGTACTTTAGGAGACCTAGGCGGACGCATCACTTGAGGTCAGGAGTTTGAGACCAACCTGGCCAACATGGTGAAACTCCATCTCTACTAAAAATACAAAAATTAGCCAGGCATGGTAGCGTGCACCTGTAATCCCAGCCACTAGGGAGGCTGAGGCAGGAGAATGACTTGAACCCAGGAGGTGGACATTGCAGTGAGCCAAGATCACACCACTGTACTCCAGCTTGGGCAACAGAGGGAGAGTCTGTCTCAAAAATAAAATAAAGGCCAGCCACGGTGGCCCACGCCTGTAATCTCAGCACTTTGGGAGGCTGAGGCAGGCGGATCACCTGAGGTCAGGAGTTCAAGACTAGCCCCGCCAACATGGCGGAATGCTGTCTCTACTAAAAACACAAAAATTAGCTGGGTGTAGTGGCGGGCACCTGTAACCCCAGCTACTTAGGAGGCTGAGGCAGGAGAATGGCATGAACCTGGGAGGCATAGCTTGCAGTGAGTCGAAATTGTGCCACTGCACTCCAGCCTGGGCCATACAGCGAGACTCCAACTCAAAAAAAAAAAAAGAAAAAAAAAGAAAAAGAAACAAAAAGAAAAATACAGTGTTATTTCTTGCATGTCTGAATTTTTGAGCTGAGATTCATATTGTCTATATATACTCTTCTCATTTTCATTCTCTTGCAACCCTATTATTTTCACGTTACATATAAGGAAAAAAGGTTTTTTGTCTTTTGTTTGTTTGTTTGTTTGTTTGTTTGTTTGAGACAGAGTCTCCCGGGTTCAAGCGATTCTCCTGCCTCAGCCTCCCGAGTAGCTGGGATTACAGGCATGCACCACCAGGTCCAGCTAATTTTTGTATTTTTAGTAGAGACGGGGTTTCACCACGTTGGCCAGGCTGGTCTCAAACTGTCGACCTCAGGTGATCCACCCGCCTCGGCCTCCCAAAGTGCTGGGATTACAGGCGTGAGCCACCGTGCCCGGGCGAAAAAAAAAAAAGATGTTTTTAAGTTCATTGTTCTGAAGTGACAAAACTAGAAAGTGCAAAACTAGAACTCAAATTTGGGTCTACCTTGCACTGAAGCCCATGCCAGCTACTACTCTATGCCATCTGGAATAGGTTTTGACTTCTCTCCACCACCTGCACTCAATCCCTCCTCTCAAATCTTGCCAACTTAGACTGAATCCCCTCTTCTAAAAAGGCACGATTGAGGGCCCCCACCACCATGTTTAAATGGCCCTCTTTAGGCCTCCCTTAATACTTTGACACCATCTGTATCACAGACCATACTATATTTTAATGATCTATGTATAGGTTCTCCATTACATAGTAAACTCTTAAGGGCAGGAATTAAGTATCTGGAGATACTATTGAAGTGCTTGACACATAGTAGGTGGTTTCGTTCTACAACAGAAGAATATCACTTATATTTCTATATGACTATTTCCTCCCTAACCTGTGAATGAACTTTATAGGATCAAAGAATATATCTGGTTTTATGCACCATGAAATCATTGCAGCCTAACACACAGCTTGACATAGATCAGGATTTTTGTTTTTTTGAAACAGACTGTTGTTCTGTCGCCTAGGCTGCAGTGCAAATGGCATAATCTCGGCTCACTGCAACCTCCGCCTCTCAGGTTCAAGCAATTCTCCTGCCTCAGCCTCCTGAGTAGCTGGGATCACAGGCGCGCCATGCACCCAGCTAATTTTTCTATTTTTAGTAGAGATGGGGTCTCGCCATGGTGGCCAGGCTGGTCTCGAACTCCTGACCTCAAGTGATCCACCTGCCTCAGCCTCCCAAAGTGCTGGGATTACAGGCGTGAGCCACCGCACCAGCCCACATCAGGTTTCTGTTGTTGCTTTTTAAGCAAAGATGGTTTTTTACCATGTTGGCCAGGCTGGTCTTGATAGAACTCATGGCCTCAAGTGATCCACCAGCCTTGGCCTCCCAAAGTGCTGGGATTACAGGCAAGAGCCACTGCACCTTGCCCAGGTTTTCAAAAATATTTTTTTGTAGTCTTTTTTTTTCTTGAGACAGGGTCTCCTTCTATCACTCTGCTAGAGCACAGTGGTGCTGTCCTGGTTCACTACAGCCTCCACCTCCCAGACTCAAGAGATCCTCCCATCCCAGCCTCCTGAGTAGCTGGGACTACAGGCACGGGCCACCACGCCCAGCTAATTTTTTTTTAAACTTTTTGTAGAGACAGGGTCTCACTATGTTGCCCAGGCTGTTCTCGAACTCCTGGCCTCAAGCAATTCTCCCACCTTGGCCTCCCAAAGTGCTGGAATTACAGGTGTGAGGCACTGTGTCCTGTCTCAATAAATATTTTTGAATGAATTAATCAGCAAGTAATCCTCTCTATTTACTGTGACTCTGAGTTATGTTCAAGGGCAAGCAGTTCTTGACTTCCTTTTCTTTGTAATGATTTAGTGCTTGAAACTACTTCTACCCATCAGCATTTTAAAATTGGTCATTATTTTCCCATTTTCATCCCCACACTCACATAGAACATGATCTCCACTATTTAAAAGTGTAAGATTTTTGTTTCAGCCTGGGATTTATCCTATTGCAAACTGCTAGCTATAATTTTCAACCTTTCCCGGCTAAATGCCAGAATGTCACTAATCAAAGGTGGTACTTAGGGGTGAAGTGAACAGTTAAGCCTCCGATTTACAAGCTTGTTTTTCCCTGGGATACTTGTGTTAAAGTCGCACGTTCCTGGGTGTGACACTTTCGAGACAAAAATTTCAACTGGTGAGTTAATTACATATTACTATAATTAAATCAAAGATGTAGGATAATGGAAGCGTTGAAATAGTATTTGCTAGGCAGGGGTGTGATCTTTTTAAAAAATGTATAATAAATGCTGCCATTCGAGAAGCAAGGAAAACATTTCCAAATTTCCTTCCAAGCAGTCTACCGGGATTGACAGTACCGCGGACAAAGGACGGTACCAAAGGCTCCTTCGAACCAACGGTACACCGAAAGCCCTGAGCCTGTGGGCGGGGCCCCGGAGCCTCCCGGGACTCAAAGACAGAGGGGGCGTGGCTGAGGGTGGTCCAGACCTCCAGGGGCGGGGCCGCGGCCGGCGAGAGGCAGGCTGGGAAGCGGCGCCATATTGGCGTCGGCCGCGCTGTATTGTCATAAATAGAGCCGGTTTTGTGGTGTTTTCACTACTCGGTTGGATGCCTCAGCCATAGTAAGTGGGAAAGTGAGGGAGCAAGCGAGCTACAAGCGACCGGAGGAAAGTGAACAGGGGGAGAAGGGAACAGCAAGAACAGGACTCCAGAGCGATAAACACTTGCTGGAGAGGGAGACGCAGGAAGCGATGAAAGAGATGTCTGCGTAAGTGGTGGGGGGCGGCGGTTGGGGTGAGGCGGGTTGGGGTGAGCTGGGGTGGTCCGTCTGTGTCCTGGTTTCCGTTCCCTGTCCCTTGCGCCCTGCACGCAGCTCGCCGGGGGTGGTCTCCTTCCCGGCTCCCGGCCGGTCCGCAAGGGCACCTCCCCTAAACCCGGCGGCTTACCTGGCCACCCCTGCACGGACTTGGGGACTCTGGGAGTCCCCAGCTGTCCCGCCTCTGAGGACGCCCTCAGAAAAGGATGAGGAGGGAAAGAGGTGCCTGTGTCCGTAGGGAGAAATTGTCGGTCACTCGCCTGCCCCCAGCACTGTCTGAGCCCGTCTGCTCCTGTCTGCATTGGCGCAAATACCATCCCCCTGCCTCCCCCTCCTCCCTTCCCGACCGGCTGTCTCCAGGTCTTCAGGAGTGAAAGACCTATCGCAGCCCAGGGGTTTCTCTTTCATATGAGGGTAAAGTCTTTTCATCCCTGTCCCCACCCTCTCCCTCACCCCCTGCCTCCCCACCTACCCACAACGTCTACCGGTCTGTACCTCTTGTTCACACTTTGATAAGTCAGAAACAGTTCCCAGACTTGGCAAGATTTTGTTGTAGCTTCTTCCATTTTGGCCTATTAGGAAACAATTTAAACATGCAGAAAAATGCAGAGAATAACATAAGCATCATTTGTGGAGCCACCACCCATTTCTCCCAAAACATAACTGTACACACACACACACACACGGTGTGTATATACATATCTATGTATTTATTTTAAAGAAATCAGGCATTCCAGATACATCTGAAGGACTCTCCTACCTCCTTCTCTGGTCCCAATCATCTCTTGCTCCAGATGTCTCCACAGTCTTGAATTTGATGTGTATTGTTGCTGCGTGTTTTTTATTTTACATTTTTTTTTTTCGCCCTCGAATCATGGGAGCTGCATGTTTTTTAATGCTATTACTGCATACACATGTGTTCATAATAACTGGCGTAGTTCTAGTTGTTTTTAAACTATATAGCTGGTATCACACTTGGAATTCTGTAACTTCTTTAGCACAACATAGTGCCTCTGAGCTTTGTTCACGTTAGTATTTTAGTTGTAATTAATTAATATTGTATTGTATTCTATTGTAGGAATGCATCCTAATTTAATTCTTTTCCTGTTAGTGACTATTTTAGGTTATTTCTAAGTTTTTAGTGTTACAGTGTGACAGCGAACATTCTTTTACAGTCTCTTTGTGCGTTTGTAACCAAAATTTCTCTAGGGTGTTTGCCTACAAGTGAACTTGATGGTTTAAAGGAAATGTGGGATTCTGTTGTTTACTTTTCCCTCCCCTCTAGATGGGGGAAGTTCAGAACTCTAGATTTGGAATTTTAGGGCCAGTAGGCTAGTTGGCTAACTTTGTCAGCATACAGGTAAGAAAGTGAGGCCGTCATCATAGTGTCAGAGGTGAAGTAGTTATGGAGGAGAGAATGGAGTAGTGGAAAGCGGTTTTGGAGGTCAGATTCTGGCTTGTCCTCTCTTAACTTTCAGATACTTATCTGTAAAATGGCACTTATTCAGTACCTCTTAGGATTATTGTGATTGAGTGATATTATATACATATGTACATAATTACTCTGTCCTATTCATTTACCATGTATATTTACATATATATAACACAAACAATACCAAAACACTGCTCTAGCTTTCTCAGAGGTAAAAAGCCAAATCTTTAAAAAGAAATTACAACTTGAAATAACTAATTGGAGTTTTGTTTGTTCTACAACAAAATAAATACAGAAGATAAATTAAGCTGTATTTTGTTTTTTGGTTTTTTTTTTTTTTTTTTGAGTCATTTTGGAAGGTATACACGCTGTTTTATCTTCCATTGATTCTTTCTCCCTCTCTACCTAATGAGATCTTTTTTTTTTTCTTTTTTTTGAGACAGAGTTTCGCTCTTGTTGCCCAGGCTGGAGTGCAGTGGTGCGATCTCAGTTCACTGCAACCTCCACCTCCTAGGTTCAAGCGAATCTCCTGCCTCAGCCTCCCGAGTAGCCGGGATTACAGACGTCCGCCACCACGCCCAGCTAATTTTTTGTATTTTCAGTAGAGACGGGGTTTCACCATGTTGTCCAGGTTGGTCTTGAGCTTCTGACCTCAGGTAATCCACCCACCTCAGCCTCCCAGAGTACTGGGATTACAGGCATGAGCCACCACGCCTGGCCTCTAATGAGATCTTTATCTAAAGAGCGTGTCTTACTCTGTGCACTTAGTAGGGGTGAGACAGTGTTTTGACGAGTTAAAATCCAAAAACAATTAAACGATCTCTATAATGTGTTATTTTTTATAGGGCTAATTTATTCAACTTGAAAGATTGATTATAATTTTGAGATTACATTCTTACTCTTGGTGTTAATGGCCCTTCATGGAAGCATGTTGAAGACAAATGGTAGCGTTGGTTGTTTAGTGTGTATGTTTTCACTTTCATAGCAAAATTAAAAGTTTTGCCAACCCCTGTTGGTCCCAGAATTTATTTTGAAGTTAATTAGTTTGTGTAAACTCAAAGTCTCAGAACTTCAATTGGCCGAGCGCAGTGGCTCACGCCTGTGATCCTAGCACTGTGGGAGGCCGAGACTGGTGGATCACCTGAGGTCAGGAGTTCGAGACCAGCCTGGCCAACATGGCAAAACTCCATCTCTACTAAAAATACAAAAATTAGCTGGATGTGGTGGCACATTCCTGTAATCCCAGCTACTTGGGAGGCTGAGGCAGGAGAATTGCTTGAACCCAAGAGGCGGAGGTTGCAGTGAGCTGAGATCTCCCTAGTGCACTTCAGCCTGGGAGACAGAGAGAGACTCCATCTCAAAAAAAAAAAAAAAAATCTCAGAACTTCTGTTGTACTTTATTCAAGACCGTAGTTTCCTGATGGCTAAGATCTTTAGAGGGTGGCTCATGTATCTTCCAAAAGATTGCCAGTAGTGTAAAGAATTTTATTTCAATGCGAAGATGGTATGGGTACCAGTCTAAAATGAAGAGAATAATTAGCTAGAGTGGCAAAATACTAGGACTGTAAACTCTGATTCAAGCAGAGGATGTTAACCTAGGTTTCCCAAGGACAAATCTAATTGTGATTTCCTTTTTAAAAGCCAGATTATTTCACAAGGACCTTCTAATGGGATGTTTTCATTTCTTTCCTGGGGAAAAAAAAACCATTGTTTTTACTAAAAGCTTTCTTTCAAGTGGTTGACTGCTTTTCAAAGATTCTAGAATCTGGATGGTACTTGACTTAAGTCTGCAGGGTAGTGGAGGTGGCCCTGGCGCAGATCCCAATCAAACTCTGGGTTTGAGCTGAGTGGTGTTGGTACAATTGTCTTGATGCCAACACATGCTGCGTTTGGCTTGAAAAGACATCCTAACCATGAAAGCTGCAGGCAGTATGAATAGCCCCTTCATAAACATAAACATAAAATACTCATTTTTCCTTTAAAAGAAAGTATCTGCCGCCACTGTTAGTACTAAGTAAACTTTTAAGGTAACTGAATTAACATGAGTAGATTGAGAGATTCAGTGTATCAGTATGATATATATTTTAAATTTTTTCTGTTGTTTCATTTTTCTTATTTTCTTGAACAGAAACACCGTGCTGGACAACCAGTGTCAACAAAAGCATTATGGAATTACCTCTCCGATTAGTTTGGCGTGTCCTAAAGAAATTGATCATATTTACACACAGAAATTAATTGACGCCATGAAACCATTTGGAGTGTTTGAAGATGAGGAAGAATTGAACCACAGGTGTGTCATTGAAAATCATAAAATATTTGACAGTGTACTGTTTAATCATTAATTCTACGAACATATTGAATACCTACTATGTCTCTACATACAGGTGCAGAAATGACAAAAAGAAAAGTCTTGGCCCTCTTGGAGCTTACATTTTAGGTAGGGGTTAGAGGAAGAGATTTGTCATCAATAATATCAGTATTACACTCGTGAGTAATATTACACATGATAAGTGCTACTGAGAAAAAGCTGAGGGGTAGAGGTTTCAGGGAAAGCCTCATTGAAAAAGTCACATTTAAGGGAATATTTAAAGGTGAAGGAGGGAGCCATGTGTCTATCTGAAGGAAAAGTGTTCTAGGCAGAACTCTTGAAGTGGTGTATTTGAAGAGTACTTAGCAAGATACCCTGGGTATCAGCAGTGAGGAAGCAGGAAGATACAGGCTTGCAGAAAGCAAGGTGGGAAGGAGCTTGGAGGGCAAGAGCTCTTAGGACCTTGTAAGGTGTTGTCAAGGTTTGGTTTATTCTGAGTGAAGTGAGAAGCTATTAGAGTTTTGAGAAGAAGATTGACATGACTGGACTTAAAAAAGTTTTAACAGTCACTCTGGCTGCTGTATTAGAGTAATCTTAAGAGAAGTGCAAGGGCAGAGCAGAGAAACCAGTTATCTAGCAACTATAATAGCCCCAGGAGGAAATAATGCTGGCTAGAACCTGGAGGATGGTCATAGAGGTAATAAAAAGTAGAAATCTGGATATATTTTAAAGGTAGGGTTCTTAGAGTTTAATGACTGGAATGTGTGTGAGAGAGAGGTCAAGGATGATGGCCAAGATTTTTGGTCTCGGCACCTTGAAGGAGTAAGTTTGGACAGAAGTTCAGTTTTGCATGTTATCTTTGGGATGTCTTTTTTTTTTTTTTTTTTTTTAGACAGAGTCTTGCTATGTCACCCAGGCTGAAGTGCACTGGCATGATCTTGGCTCACTGCAACCTCCGCCTCCCAGATTCATGCCATTCTGCTGCCTCAGCCTCCCCAGCAGCTGAGACTACAGGCGCATGCCGCCATGGCCAGCTAATTTTTTTTGTATTTTTAGTAGAGATGGGATTTCACCATGTTAGCCAGGATAGTCTCGATCTCCTGACCTCGTGATCTGCCCACCTCAGCCTCCCAAAGTGCTGGGATTAAAGGCGTGAGCCACCGCACCTGGCCTTCTTTGGGATGTCTTAAACCCTGCTTTTCTCTTCTAAATGTGGATTCATTTATGCCATTGGTTATAAGTTTGTTTTAATAATACTAAACTTCTTTAATACTATTAGACAGAAATTAGCCAGTAATTAGTTTGCCCATTTTAATTAGTCAAAGACCTATTACTAGCAATTCTAGCTTCTATTACCACATTGAATTGAATTAATTCCATAGTAAAGCCAAGAAAGTTGACAATTCACTAGGCCTTTAGAGCCTCATTGAAGGCAATTTTATGGTTTTTATTAGGCTTTTTGAATTTTGAACATAGCTCAAAAACTAAAATATTGTAATCAGATTTATCACCTCTTTGACACTATTAAGGATCTAAGAATGCCAAAGAGATGGCCCTATGTCAATAGATGTGATAGCATTATTGCATGTATGTTTTGGTTTTACCCTAACATCAACACAAAGGGTATTGCCTATATGGGTTTTTAAAAATACTGTTTGTTCATTTTAATCTGAAGCTTTTTTTTTTTTTTTTTAATAGGCTAGTGGTTCTTGGTAAATTGAACAATTTAGTAAAAGAATGGATTTCTGATGTCAGTGAGAGTAAGGTAAGACTTTAAACTATGTGGAATTCTTGTTTTTATTATATCTTGGTCATTCATCCTGGCAATGAGATGCAGGTGTTGAGAAGTAGCTGAAATACATCAAAGCTTGGCTCTCTGGTATACATAGGAATGAACTGGTCTAGACGGTTGAATTTCTAAGTAGATGAGGATTTACCCAGAAGTAGCCAATATATAGTTGTGAGTCCACATAATTGTCTTGTTTGACTCATATGTAGTAGGCCAAATATCAGATTTTACTTAAAAATCACATTTCAACTGTTTTTATAAAGTGTTAGATCTGGCAATGCTGGGCCTGCCTTTGTGCACAGCAGGAAGAGGCTTGAAGGGGATTGGGCTCCTATCTTCCATTGCCTCATGGCCCCCACCACTCCTTGTTTTCTTTGCAAGGTGATTAGTTGAGCAGTTACTATGTTTCTCATGTGGGATTCCCTTACTTGCCTACCTGCTTGGTTCCTAAGACATAGGAATTTGTAAACTAATTTATAGCTACAGAACTCTTTTCCCCTCCTGTAGCTTAACTATTTTTCCCCTGAAATTGATTACATTTTCCTGCGTTGTGTAGTGCAGTCCTCCCTTGGTATCCTCCGGGGGATTGGTTCTGTGACCTCCAAAGATACTAAAATCTGTGGATGCTCAGGTTCCTTATATAAAGTAATATAGTACATATTTGCATGTTACCCTTTCATATCCTTTTGCATACTTTCAATCATTTCTAGATTACTTAAAATATCTAATACAATGTTAATGCTATGTAAATAGTTGTCACTGTAATTTTTTTTTTATTAGCATGTTTAATTTTTTTTTTTTTTTTGAGACGGAATCTCACTCTTTCACCCAGGCTGGAGTACAGTGGCGCAATCTTGGCTCACTGCAACCTACTCCTCCCAGGTTCAAGCGATTCTCTTGCCTCAGCCTCCTGAGTAGCTGGGACTACAGGCGTGTACCACCACTCTGGACTAATTTTTGTATTTTTAATAGAGACGTGGTTTCATCATGTTGACCAGGCTGGTCTCGAACTCCTGATCTCAGGTGATCTGCCTGCTTCAGCCTCCCACAGTGCTGCAATTACAGGCGTGAGCCACCACGCTCAGCCTAAATTTTATTTATTATTATTATTTTTTTTGGAGACAGAGTCTCCCTCTGTTGCCCAGGCTGTAGTACAGTGGCACGATCTCACCTCAGCCTCCCCAAGTGCTGGCATTACAGGCGTGAGCCACCATGCCCGGCCATAAATTTTATTTTATTTTTTTTTATAGATAGAATCTCCCTCTGTCACCCAGGCTGCAGTACAGTGGGACAGTTATATAGCTCACTGCAGTCTCAAACTCCTGGGCTCAAGTGATCCTCCCACCTTAGTCTCGTGAATAGCTGTAACTGTAGGAATGCACAATTGTGCTTGGCTTATTTTCTTCATTATTTTTTGTAGAGACAAGAGTCTCACTATATTACCCAGGCTGGTCTCAAACTCCTGGTTTCCAGCAGTCCTCTGACCTCAGCCTTCCAAAGTGCTGGAATTACAGGCATGAGCCACTGCGCCTTGCCTAAAATTTGCTTTATTTTTTATGGCTTTTTCCCCCCCAATATTTTTTATCCGTGCACGATTGGTTGAATCTGCAGATATGGAAGGCCAACTATATTTTGAATATAATTGTTTTTGTTTTTGTTTTTGTTTTGAGACATAATCTTGCTCTGTTGCCCTGGCTGGAGTGCAATGGTGAGATCTCAGCTCACAGCAATCTCTACCTCCCAGGTTCAAGCGATTCTCCTGTCTTAGCCTCCCAAGTAGCTGGGATACTTCCCACCATACCCGGCTAATTTTTGTAGTTTTAGTAGAGATGGGGTTTCACTGTAATGGTCAGGCTGGTCTCGAACTCCTGACCTCAGGTGATCTATCCATCTCAGCCTCCCAAAGTGCTGGGATTACAGGTGTGAGCCAGCACACCTGGCCTTGGTTTTGTTTTTGTTTGAGACATGGTCTGTCTCTGTTGCCCAGGCTGCAGTGCAGTGGCATAATCTTGGCTCACTGCAGCCTCTGCCCCTGGGTTCAAACAGTTCACTTGCCTCAGCCTCCCAAGTAGCTGGGATTACAGGTGCATGCCACCATGCCATCAGCTAATTTTTGTATTTTTAGTAGAGATGGGGTTTCACCATGTTGGCCAGGCTGGTCTCGAACTCCTGACCTCAAGTGATCCGTTCTCTTCGGCCTCCCAAAGTGATCCGCCTGCCTCAGCTTCCCACAGTGCTGGGATTACAGGCGTGAGCCACCGTGCCCAGCCTAAATTTTATTTATTATTATTATTTTTTTTGGAAGCAGAGTCTCGCTGTGTCGCCCAGGCTGTAGTGCAGTGGCACGATCTCACCTCAGCTCTTGACTTACAGGCATGAGCCACCGTGCCCAGCCTCACAATTGAATTTTTATTGTTGTCTGAGAATCACCACTGTGAAGATTATTTTACTGGCTGTACCAGAATGAGGGAGAGAATGTTCAACTGGATGATACCATTTGCCTCATCACTAGGTAGACAATACTGTTACATTTTAAGGTTTTTGATTTTCATAGTTTTCCCATCTTTGCCCTAACAGCAGTCAGTTGAAAGGTAACGTCTCACAGTTGTCAGTGTGTCTACCTGTAAAGTCCCTTTCTGTCCCTTAATCTGCACGGATTTAGAAATTAGGTAAACACCTGCAGAATTTTTTTTTTTTTTTTTTTTTTTGGAGATGGGAGTCTCACTCCGTCACCCAGGCTGGAATACAGTGGCGCGATCTCAGCTCACTGCAACCTCCGCCTCCCAGGCTCCAGCAGTCCTCCCACATAGTTGGGACCACAGGCATGCGCCACCATGCCTGGATAATTTTTGTATTTTTGTTAGAGACAGGGTTTTGCCATGTTGGCAAGGCTGATCTCAAACTCCTGAGTTCAAGCAATCCACCCGCCTTGGCCTCCCAAAGTGCTAGGATTATAAGCGTGAGCCACCACACCTGGTCTAGAATTTTTCTTTTACAGCTTTAAACAGTGGGCTCAGAATAAAGTTGAGTCTCCTAAAGACTATAGTCATTGAGTTTAACATGGTCTTTATGCTGTTTACTTTTGTTGCCAAAAGGCCGTCTGCCTCATTTCTGAACTCAATAGGGTTATCAATAGTTGAAGTTATTGGATGAGTCAAATTCTGAGCAGGTGAAATTCTAGTCACAAGTAATTAAAAAAAAAATAAGTTAACATCTTCCATTGAGTAGATGAGGTCATTTTTCTATGTGAATTATAATTGTCTCTTTCATGTGGGGGAATGCGGGAAGGATCTCTGTCTCCCAAGCTGTAGTGCAGTGGCATGCATAATCATGGCTCACTACAGCCTCAAACTCCTGGGCTCAAGCAGTCCTCTCACCCAAGCCCCCCAAGTAGCAGAGACTACAGGTACACATCCTGATGCCCAGCTACTTTTTTTTTTTTTGTAGAGATGGGGTCTTGCCGTGTCGCCCAGGTTGGCCTCAAACTCTTGTACTCAAGTGATCCTCCTGCCTTGGCTTCCCAAAGTGTTGAGATTACAGGCGTGAGTCACAACCATGCCCAACTTATAATTCTCTCTTTTTTTTCAAATTAAAAAAAAAAAGTCATGAGGTCTCACTGTGTTGTCCAGGCTGATCTTGAACTCTTGAGCTCAAGTGAACCTTCCACCTCAGCCTCCCGCAGTGTTAGGATTGCAGGCAAGAGCCACCACTCACAGCCTATAATTCTCTTTATGTATGTTTTACTTTGGAAAGTAACTGAAGGATTTGGGTTCAATCAAAGATTATTTGAATCCATACACAATTGGGATATTTAAACTTTAAATAGTATAGAACCCCAGATCAAATAATTTTAGTTAGATACTATGGCCGTGGCAAACTGTGATTTAGTGTATCACTTTCTCATAAATCATCCAAGAATCAGACTTCTCAAAGTAGAAATGTGAACTAAAAGATTTTTTTAAGGTCCTGGCTTCTCTGTCCATTTCATTCATGTTAATTATGAATAAATTTATAGATTCCTGGGCATAGTGGTGCATGCCTGTAGTCCCAGCTACTCAGGAGGCTGAAGCAGGAAGATCTTGAGCCCAAGAGTTCAAGGCCAGCCTGGCAGCATAACGAGACTCTGTCTCTTTAAAAAATCTGATTAATAAATTTACTGACTTCTTTTTAGCTATAAAATTATTTGTGATACTCTGAACGTTAATATTCATTACACAGAGGCGTTAAGCATAATATCCTATTATATAGATACTTTTATTCAAGGTGAAGTTAATCAGCACATATTATTCTTCAGAACTTGTACTGGGCATTGTGAGAAAATACAGAGAAGTAGTAGACAAAGTTCTTAACTTTGAGAAATTTAAATATTAAAGATTAAATATGATTTTACATACCAAAAAAGTCAGTAAATATAGCAAAAAAGAATTTAAGAATTTTAAGGGCAGAGAGCACAGAGGAAAAAAAAGCTTGTTAGGGAGTAAGGATAACCAGGGAAGGCTTCATGGAAGAGGTGGAACTTGAAGTGAACTTCCAAAAGTGGATGATACTGATAGCCAGAAGCTGGACATTGTGGCTCATGCCCGTGATCTCAACACTTTGGGAGGCCGACACAGGGGGATTGCTTAAAAACAGGAACTTGAGACCAGCCTGGGCAACAAAGCAAGACCCCATCTTTACAAAAATTATTTAAAAATTATCCAGGCACGGTGGTACATGCCTGTAGTCTCAGATACTCTGGAAGCCAAGGCAGGAGGAATATTTTGTGCTCAGTAGTTTGAGGCTGCGGTGAGCTAAGATCACACTGCTGTGCTTACTTCAGCCTGGGCAACACAGTGAGACCCCATCTCCATCTGTTTTTTTAAAAAAAAAAAACCCAAAAAACAAAAGATGCCCAGAGAGGATGGGCAAGCACTTGAGGCAGGGACAATGGCAAATGCAGTGGAAAGGAGGCTGGATTCTGTAACCATGTTGGTTGGTTGGTTGGTTGGTTGGTTGGTTGGTTGGTTGTTGGAGCTTCAGAAAGGAAGATAAGAAGGCAAGAAGGATCCCTAGGAACATGTGGAGATTTTCAACAACAGGCCCAAGGATCCTTACCTCAGTAGTTAGAGAAGAAGGCATTGGCAACTTTTGAGTAGAACAACTATATTTAATAGAGTAATTTAAGAACATCAGCCAGTGAATTTTATACAAGATAGTGAAAGAGAAAAGGAAGATTAATTAGAGGGTAGTTTAGGATGCCATTAAATAGCCAAGAATTAGGGGAGTATTCGTTGAATGGAAAAGAGGCCACAAATTTGAGAGATATAAGCTAAGAATTGGTAAGCCAAGAAGAAGGAAAAGGTTTGGGCAGTGAGGAAAATGAGGAACAAAAATAGAGAACTCAGAAGCAATATCTGTTAGCATTGGAATAATTTTTTTTGCTTGCTTGAGGCTGGATATTGAAGTGGATCAGGATACTTGAGTGAATATCTGATGGGCTTTTGGAATTGGCTCTGAAGAGAGGTGAAAATTAGCATTTTTTCTTTTTTTTTTTTTTTTTTGAGGTAGGATTTCACTCTTGCTGAGGCTCAACCTCCTGGGCTCAAGCAGTCCTCCCATCACAACCTCCCAAGTAGCTGGACTAGAGGCACACACCACCATGCCCAGCTAATTTTTTATTTTTTGTAGAGATGGAGTCTCATTGTGTTGCCCAGGCTGGTCTTGAACTGGACACAAGTGGTCCTCTTGCCTCAGTCTCCCAAAGTGCTGGGATTGCAGACATGACCATGCCCAGCCAAAAGGTAGCATTTTAATTATGTTATAATCCAAGAAATGTTAATTAAGCTTATTGGAATAGCTCTCATAAGGAGATCATGTCAGGAATGACCCCGTTCTTACAGAAAGGTTGTACAGCTAGAATCAAGAAATTAAACATACCTGTCACAAAAACTAAAGGGGATATGGATTGGCCAAGAGTATTATGTTTTAGAGAGCTGAAAGCACATTAGTTTGGTGAGAGTTCCTTGGTGACTACCAAAAGAGTGATGAAGCAAAAGACAGGCAATTGGAGGGGACATGTATGGTCAAGTGATTAAAAAGAAAAGCTTTTCTTCAGATAGAGATGTATGCATGTGTAGTGGGGGTGAATTTGTTTTGTCTTCCCTCTGGTAATACCCTTACTACTTCAAATCACAGTCAGAGGATCTGTGAAGTACTTTTACAAGTCTAATCTTGACAAAGTTGACAAGTCTGATCATTTGCTCAATAAAGGCCAGTAGACATTATGGTGATTTTTTTTTTTTTTTTTTTTAATTTTTGAGGTGGAGTTTCGCTCTTGTTCCCCAGGCTGGCGTACAATGGCACGATCTCGGCTCACTGCAACCTCCACTTCCCAGGTTCAAGTGATTCTCCTGCCTCAGCCTACCAAGTAGCTAGGATTACAGGCGCCCACCACCAGGCCCAGCTAACTTTTGTATTTCTAGTAGAGAAGGGGTTTTGCCATGTTGGCCAGGCTGGTCTCAAACTCCTGACCTCAGGTGATCTGCTGGCCTCAACCTCCCAAAGTGCTGGGATTACAGGTGTGAGCCACCACGCGCAGCCAACGTTGAGGTGACTTTTGTGCTAAATAATTTGAATAATTGAATATCTTCTGCTTAATTTTATTTTAGAACCTCCCACCTTCTGTTGTGGCAACTGTTGGTGGTAAAATTTTCACATTTGGATCCTATAGGCTTGGAGTACACACCAAAGGTAACTGCTTTTCTGTGTTCTAGTGCTAAGAACATTCAATGACGAACTCTTGTTCATAATTAGAAAATACAGGAGAACAAAGTTCCCATTATTTCACTACTTACAGCTAATCATTGTTAACATTTTCTTGTACCTAGCTTCCATACTTTCTTCTGTGCATATGTTTGAGTGTACTTTAACAAAAAATATAACACATAATATATTCTTCTTAAGAACTACTTTAATTTACAGGAGCTGACATTGATGCACTTTGTGTAGCTCCAAGACATGTGGAGAGATCTGATTTTTTTCAGTCTTTTTTTGAAAAATTGAAACATCAAGATGGCATTAGAAACTTAAGAGTAAGTATCCTCTGGCATTTAATATTTTGAATTTAGATTAGTAACAAATATCTATAAAAGCTAGGGCTTAAGACTATTGAAATACCTCCTAAGTTACTATTAGGAGATATTTAATAAGAGTAACTTTAATACGTGATGATTAAATGATGATTAAGAACATGGGCCTTAGAGTTATACAGACTTGGGTTGGCATCTAGAATCTACTACATAATAGCTCCTAGATCTTGGTCAGGTAACCTAATCCTCTGAGCCTGTTTCCCAATCTGTAAAATGGAGATGTGGTAATAACTTTTTTATAAGGTTTTTGAGTATTGATGAGATATTTACATAAACCATTTACTGTAATAGCCAATAATGATTGATAGATATCAAATGATGAGTGCTATTATGTGTAAAGTTCAGTTAGTAACTCTTTATATGTGTATATCTAGCCATTCATTCAGCAAATAAAATTTCAGCACCAGTAATTTGTTAGATGCTGTCATTAGTCTTACAGATACAGTAGTAAACCTGACATTGTTGAAGGGGGGTTATGTGAACTACATAAACAACAGTGTTAATGCATTCTGAAGTACTAGAATAAGGTGAAGGTCAAAGAATCTGTGATATTTGGGGAATCTGGGAATGTTTTTAGATAAGGAAGTTAAGAATTTATTAGGTTGGGGAGTTAAGGAAGACTCAGAAAACCATTATTTCTACTAATCTCAACTGTATTAATTAAATTTTTAATATATAAATCATGAGCTCTCATTATTTTAAAATTTCTAACCCTAGTAGCCTTTCTAAATAATCAGTTTTCAGTTTAGACTCAAGAAATTATAAGTACCCAGATAATAGCAGCTTTTTGTTTTTTTGTTTGTTTGTTTGTTTTTTAATTTTACTTTAAGTTCTAAGATACATGTGCAGAACGTGCAGGTTTGTTATATAGGTATACTTGTGCCACGGTGGTTTGCTGTACCCATCAACCTGTCATTTAGGTTTTAAGCCCTGTATGCATTAGGTATTTGTCCTAATGTTCTCCCTCCCCTTGTTCCCCACCCCCAGACAGGCCCCAATGTGTGACGTTCCTCTCCCTATGTCCATGTGTTCTCATTGTTCAGCTCTCACTTATAAGTGAGAACATGCAGTGTTTGGTTTTCTGTTCCTATGTTTGCTGAGAATGATGGCTTCCAGTTTCATCCATGTCCCTACAAAGGACATGAACTCATTCTTTTTTATGGCTGCAGACGATAGCAGTTTTGCTTTCCAGTTCTGAGGAATATTTTTAGAGGGATAATAAATTAGATACCATTTTAAGCATTTTGTGTTTCTTACATAATACAGGTCACAAAGTAGAAATACCTGGAATGTAAGACCAAAAGCATTTTCACTTTGTCTGTTGAGTTAAAATACAAATTGGGAGCAAAGATACTCACATTATTGGTAGTTAGGAAGGATAAAGAAGGGATTACACCTGTATGTTATAATTGTTTTCCTTTTTTGTAGGCTGTAGAAGATGCCTTTGTACCTGTTATAAAATTTGAATTTGATGGTATTGAAGTAAGTGTTTAATATTTTTGTGACTTTACAATTGAACTGTTTAACTCGTAAGTTTGTTTTCTGAAAACAGGCTTAACATAAGTGTGTATTTTAAAAAATCAAATCTCTTTTTTTTTTTTTTTTTTTTTTTTAGATTGGGTCTAACTCTGTGGCCCAGGCTGGAGTATAGTGACACAATCATAACTCACTGCACCTTTGAGCACCTGAGTTCAAGTGATCCTTCCACCTCAGCCTCCTGAGTGGCTGGGATTCCAGGCACACACCACCACACCTGGCTTAATTTTTTGTATTTTTAGTAGAAATGGGGTTTCACCATGTTAGCCAGGATGGTCTCAATCTCCTGACCTCGTGATCCACCCACCTCAGCCTCCCAAAATGGTGGGATTACAGGTGTGAGCCACTGCGCCCAGCCCATATTTTTAATTTCTAAGAATACTATTTTATTCTTTAAATGTGCCTTTTTATTTATGTCTGTATTTATTTACAGCCTCCTGACCTTATTTCCTAGATACAGCATTTTTACCTGCTTTCTTAGGTCTACTGGGTCTGTTACCACTTGTCCATCTGCTTTCCAGCTTTCATAGCTTTTGCTGTTGTCACTTTCTGTTCTTTGTCCTAGTGAATTTTGCATTTAAAATAAAAATAATACTAAACAAAAAAACTAAATTAAATTTTCCTGGTATTTTAGTGAGGTTTCAAGAGGGAGCGAATGTAAATGTGTGTTGGATCTTCTATCTTTATCTAGAAATTTGCTCATAAGGCTTTGATTTTTTTTTTTTTTTATGCTTGGCATATATGCTAAAATTTAAATGCTTTCATTAATTCGAAAGTTTAATTACCTTAACAAAACTTTACAGTTATTTTCCCATGTGAGATTGTCTATAGAGGCCTATTGAAGCTTTGGTAGAACTTCCCAAACTAATAATCAGAGGTTTTCACATTTTTATGGTGGGATGGGAGAGGATGGATTGAAAGGAGAAAATGTAATTTTTTTCTCTTTTTTCGCATCTTTCCAAAGATTGATCTAGTCTTTGCAAGACTGGCAATACAAACCATATCAGATAATTTAGATCTAAGAGACGACTCTCGCCTGAGAAGCCTTGATATAAGGTGTATTCGCAGCTTAAATGGTAAGCTTCTAAAAAGAAATCTCAGATACCTGCTTCAAAACAATTAGTTACATTTTTGCAGAATTGACTAATAATTCAATTTTGGAGATTGGACTCAGTTTAAAATGTAATTTTGTTTATACAGATAATGTGACCACATTTAAGAATCCTAAAAACCACGAATTTATTTGAAAGACTGTGTATATATATAGTAGTGGTTCTCAAACTTACTGGTCTCAAGACTTCTTTACACTCTTCAGATTTATGGAGGACCCCAAAAAGCTTTTGTTTATGTGGGTTATATCTTTCAATATTTACCATGTTAGAAATAAAAACTGAGAAATTTTAAAAATACTTAGTCATTTATAAATAATAAACCCATTTTAAATTAATATAAACTTGTGTGTGAAGAATGACTTTTTTTTTTTTTTTTTGCATTTTGCAAATCTCTTTAATATTTGACCTGATAGAAGACAGCTAGATTCTTATTTGTGTCTACAGTCAATTGTAATATTTTGTTTTGGTTAACATATAAGAAGAAAATCTGGCTGGGCGTGGTGGCTCACGCCTATAATACCAGCACTTTGGGAGGCCAAGGTGAATGGATTACTTGAGCCTGGGAGTTCCAGACCAGCTGGGATGACATGTTGAAACCCCATCCCTATAAAAAATACAAAAAATTTAGTTGGATGTAGTGGCACTCGCCTGTAGTTCCAGCTACTCAGGAGGCTGAGGTGGGAGGATCACCTGAGCTCAGGAGGTGGAGGCTGCAGTGAGCCGTGATTACACCACTGCACTCTAGCCTAGGTGACAGAGCGAGACCCTGTCTAGAAAAAAAAAAAAAAAGAGGCCGGGTGCGGTGGCTTATGCGTCTAATGCCAGCACTTTGGGAGGCCGAGGCAGGCGGATCACCTGAGGTCAGGAGTTTGAGACCAGCCTGTACAACATGGCAAACCCCGTTTCTATTAAAAATAAAAAATTAGCCAAGCGAGGTGGTGCTTGCCTGCAATCCCAGCTACTCGGGAGACGGAGGCAGGAATATCGCTTGAACCCAGAAGGCAGAGGTTACAGTGAGCTAAGATCATGCCACCACACTCCAGCCAGGGTGACAGAGCGAGTCTCCATCTCAAAAAAGAAAGAAAAAAAATCTGTCCTCTTAATTGGAAAAGGGGCCGGGCGCGGTGGCTCACGCCTGTAATCCCTGCACTTTGGGAGGCCGAGGCGGGCGGATCACGAGGTCAGGGGATCGAGACCATCCTGGCTAACACGGTGAAACTCTGTCTCTACTAAAATACAAAAAATTAGCCGGGCGCAGTGGTGGGCGCCTGTAGTCCCAGCTGCTTGGGAGGCTGAGGCAGGAGAATGGCGCGGACCCGGGAGGCGGAGCTTGCAGTGAGCCGAGATCGCGCCGCTGCACTCCAGCCTGGGCGACAGAGTGAAGACTCCCCCTCAAAAAAAAAAAAAAAAATTAATTGGAAAAGGGAGGAGTGTTTTCATAGCCTTTTCAGATAATTATAGATGTTCTTCTTGACCAGTGACTTTTTTTTCTTTTTAACAGTTTTATTGAGATATAATTACATACCGTTAAATTTATCCTTTTCAGGTGTGCACCTCACTGGTCTTTTTCTTTTCTTTCGTTTTTTTTTTTGGAAACGGAGTCTCACACTGTTGCCCAGGCTGAAGTGCGATGGCACGATCTCAGCTCACTGCAACCTCCGCCTCCTGGGTTCAAGCGATTCTCCTGCCTCAGCCTCCTGAGTAGCTGAGATTACAGCCATGTGCCACCACGCCCGGCTGATTTTTTTGTATTTTTATTAGAGACAGGGTTTCTCCATGTAGGTCACACTGGCCTCCGACTCTTGGTATCAGGTGATCCGTCCACCTTGGCCTCCCAGAGTGCTGGGATTACAGATGTGAACCACCTCACCTGGCCTTCACTGGTCTTTAGTACACTACAATCCAATGTTAGAATATTTTATCACTCTCGAAAGATGCTTTATACACATTTGCAGTCATTTCCCCTTCCAGTCCCCAGTCCCAGGCAACCACTAATGTGCTTGCTTTCTTTGTAGATTTGCCTCTTAAAGACATTTCATATAAAGAGAATCCTATGTGGTCTTTTGCATAAGGGTTCTTTCATTTGGCATGTTTGTGAGGTTCATCCATATTCTGTTTTGTTGCTGAATAAAAATGATAGTTTCTTAAAGGTTAGAGTATGGAGTCTAAAATCATATCAGACTTTTTGTATTCTGTTACATAACAATCCACTGATCTGTCTTGTTCTTTGAGTGGTCCCTTTATTCATGCATGATTCTGTCCTATCATGCCTTGGTCATTTGGAAAATATTGGGTCACAAAGTTACTTGGATCTTCCAAATGTTAATACACATTTCACTATAAAATGTGAAAAAAAAAAAACTAGCATTCATTAATATCACCACCAGTCTCAACAGAAAAGTATGGAAAGGTGTCAAGTTCATAGTAACAGATAAAAGTTGTCTAAAATTCATGTTTGACTTGAAAGGTTAAATTTTATTGTTGGCAACAAATTTTGTCATTTTACTTGAACGGAGGGGTTCCTTTTGTTCATTTTAAAAGAAATACCTCACTGAATAACTATAGTTCATCTGCCAGTTACTTTTTCAGGTAAAACTGGTGTTCCTTGAAAAAAGCAGGTGGTTCAGCTTACAACTCACACAGTCTCACGTGTTCTTTCCCCACCTTTATTTTTAACTGCAAATGTTTGGTAGTGAAGATATTTTTTTCTGCTAGTACAGTTTGTTGCCCCATCTTGATTGACTGCAAAGGTACCTGCAGTTTTATCCACCGTTTCTTTTGCACCATCAGTGCAAATGTTAACACGGTGAAAAAAGCAAAGAAAGCCTTAGTATTATTATAAAAAAAGTTTGACCTCACAGATTCCCAGGGGTACCCAGACCATACTTTGAGAACCATTGTTTTTTTTGTTTTTTTTTTTTTGAGACGGAGTCTCACTCTGTTGCCAAGGCTGGAGTGCAGTGGCGCAATCTCGGCTCACTACAACCACCGCCTCCTGGGTTCAAGCGATTCTCCTGCCTCAGCCCTTTGAGTAGCTGGGATTATAGATGCCCACCACCACACCCAGCTAATTTTTGTATGTTTCACCATTTTGATGAAACATACAGGATTTCACCATTTTGGCCAGACTGGTGTCGAGCTCCTGACCTCAGGTGATCCACCCACCTCGGCCTCCCAAAGGGCTGGGATTGAGAACCACTGTTTTATAGTGTCTTTTGTTTAACCAAATCACTATTGGACTTTGGTGTATTTCCAGATTGTAACAGTAAATTACAGTATTTGTGGAAAAGGTTTACATTGAAGTAATTACAGTGTTGTAATTGGGAGGTATTTGATTAACAGTCAAATATGGAAGAAAACTAAAAAATACTCAGACACATCACATTTTGGATTGCATTACCCATGTATTTTTTAATTATCCTAAAACAAACTGATTTCTCCTAAGTGCTAAATTTCATATACATAAAATAAACCCTGATGTTTTATTATCTTTCATATTTTTAGTATTCGAGAGTCTGGAAGTTAGGAGGGTATTTGAATTAACTATTTGCTGCATATTGAAAAATGAATGCTTTGTCTTTTTCAGGATGTAGAGTTACGGATGAAATTTTGCATTTAGTGCCAAATAAAGAAACTTTTAGACTCACCCTAAGAGCTGTCAAATTATGGGCAAAACGTAAGTATCCCTAGTCTTCTATGTTTGCATTATAAAATTCTAATTTTCTCTTGCCAGTGTTAGAAGCACATATAGAAACTTTGAATCTAATGATATTGTTGGAGGTTGAGGGCCAATAAACTCTGGAGTAGCTATTTGTTTTTCGGGTACAATGGTTATGGTGTTTTGAAAAGTAGTGTACCTCTTCCTAACTTGGGTAAAAACTAAAAGCCCCTGATTTTTCGTCTTAGGTTCAGTCAGGCAGTCAGAATAATTCAGAAGTTGAAGACTGACACCCTCCCTGTGGGTAGCACCATCTTATATATCTTTGTATTCCCACCCGCAGAGTCTGGTTTTCACTGTAGTAGGTGTTCATTAAGTGAAGAGCCCACAGTGATAACTTTCACTTGTTTTTACCTTATAACACTTTTCTAATAAAGCCTGGAACTGTTACTAGTTTTTATATATGTGTGTGTATATATATAGTTCATATATTTAGGTTCATAAAAATCCCTTTGCTTACCACTGAGCTAGCATAGCACATTCTGTATTATTATTTAAGCATACCTCTGAGATATTGCAGGTTTGGTTCCAGACAACTGCAGTAAAGCAAATTACAATTTTTTTGTTTTGTTTCCCAGTGCATATAAAAGTTACATTTACATTATACTGTAGTCTTTTTTTTTTTTTTTTTTTTGAGACA